AGAGATCATGTTTCCTCTGTGGTGAATATGGCACCCATATTTTTGATGGAATGTTTTCACTTCTCCTTGGTAGAACCCCCATCTTCTCTGTACTTTTCTCCACTTTCTTTAGATGTCTTTTGTTCTTCAAAGTTTAGGCTGCCAACCTATCCCTTAACCTTGAAATGTACATTTTTCTTGTTCCTGATCCTGCTGAGTTCTTCTTTGTAGTATATTTAATTAAAATATATATACATAAAAATGTAACAAATAATAAGGCACTGGTGTAACAATTATAATGGGAACAAAGTTAACAATTTGCTTTATTTTTATCTGGTCTTTTTTTTTGAAGAAATACAATGTTGAAGATAACCCTTTGCATTCTCCTCCTCATTTTATTCCCCTTTATCCCTCCCAGAAGTAGCCAGTATCCTGAAGTTGATACTCATCTTTGCTCTATGGGACTTTATGATTTGACCACAAGCCACTGCAGCTCCAAGGGTCATTGGGTGCATTTTGAGTTCATTTCTCTGACTCTGCCCTCCTTGTGCAATATCCGTCTTTTCTTACGAACCTCGTGTCTCGAGACCCCTCTGGCCCCTTCGTGGAAAAGGAAACAAGGAAAAGCTGAAGGCGCCCTGACCTTTCCTGCTTCCTTCTTCCTCCTTGACCCTTTCCTTCGGTTACTTTCTACCCTCTTCTATGTGCTCTGCACCATCAGACTCTACTTACAGCCTCTTTTTCTTTGTTTATTCTTGGTGCCCCGGTGTTCGATATCTCTGGCTTCTATTTTTGCTCTTGAAGATGAACAAGCTCAGTTTTTCTCTGCCCTAATTTGGGAACAGGTAAGATAATGTTACTGAAAACCTGAGAGAGAAATGCAGTTTAATTACTCTGCAGTATAGAAACCCTCCTGAGAGAAGAAGGGATGGCGCTGTATGTCTTGGAGGATCTGACCCTTAATAACATCAGATATGAATTACTTATAATTAGCATGTTTGTCATTTAAATGTAGTACTGAAGGCATTTGCCATTAGGTTAATAGTAATCTTTTACAAAATTTGCTTAACAAAATTCTATTTATCCTTTTAGATATTGGTAATGTCTCATTTTATGGTCTGTATACAACAGAGATTTTTATATTTCTCTTCCAAGTATTCATAGCAAAGTTTACTGTAAACAAGCCTTTTCTTTCTTTCACTTATTTACCTACGCTGTGCAGAACGCATTATAAATGGAGATGGATTGGGATGATAATATTTAGGGCTGTAACAAATGATTATGGCAGCTATTCAGGACTCAAGGAGTTTACACTTGCAGGTGGGAAGACAGGTGTTTATTCACATACTACTAGGGCAACACCAAGGGTGGGCAGAGGGAGGAAGAGGAGGGACAGTAGTGCCACGCTTCAGGGCCTGGATAAGGAACTGGTTTTGGGGAACTGAAGGACCAACAAAATTCTTGATTGTGTGTTTGTTCAGTGTTTGAGGGCATGAAAGTTTAGAGATGAACTCTATCCAGTCTGGCCATCACAGATCTTATTGTATCGTCAGGTAACAATTACCTTTCAGTTTCCAGTAGATGTTTCCATGTCACACATTCCGTTAGCCCTTCCTGACCTTCCAAATTCAAATAAAGCAAAAGGAGCTAAGAATAAGAGTGGGAAGGAATCACCTAAAATCTTTATCAAGTGTTGTCAGAGTGTATCTTTGGCCTAAATATACTCTTGTGGGGCCCATGCTAAGACTATTCATGGTTTCCTTTCCCAGTCCATGTTCTGGAATATAATTTAGGCCCTCTACCAGTTTCTTTCCATCTGCAAGACACCCCATGTTTGTTTCTTGGCATGGAACCCAGAATTCTCTGCCTAGGCCTACTGCAGTCTTCCTCTAATGATTCAAAGTCATAAATTACAACACATGAATGAAATGCCTACTGTGTGCTTACAGAAGAGATGGCAGGATAATTAAAGGTGGAATTTTTGTGGCATCTTTTAAATCTGATATTTTTCATTTTATCATTAAGCTGCTTCTTGGCTCACTTTCTTCCCTTATCATTTACTGTGTAGGTATGCAAATTACATTTTTCTGTTATATAGTACTGGTAAATACTAGGATTTCACTTTTTTTTTTCCTAGAAAATGAGCCTCTTAGAGCCCAGAACAGTAGGACCTACATTTATAGATTAAGGCTTATTTATTTTCATTTTTAAAAATTTACACTTTAAGTTTTATTTAAAAACAAACCAACCAACAAAAAAAATGGGCTTCTTCAGAGTAGTTGCTCCTGGAAGATCCTGAGGGGCCTAATAAGAAGACTGGTGGCCCGTCTGTTGCAATGGCTTTAGATTGAGGATTTTAGTTGGAAATGAATTTAAGATGGTTCTAAGAATAAAGCTTTCTACGTTTTAGTAAATGTTAACAGTTTGGAGATCTGCAGAGAGACATCTGCCATCCTTTAAATTTTCCCAAGTGACACTACACATTTTATGCTTCAGAAACTAGAAATTGAGGCAAAAAGATCAAACCCAGAGATTCTTTCCAAAAGCCACTAGTGTTTAGGAAAGTTTGGTATTGCCTGTGACACAGCCTGCTAAATGTGATATATGATATATGTAACTTCCTCGTTGAGGAGAAAAAACATGTAAATGCATGAGAGTCAATGAGTGTGATGAAAAGAAAAAAAAATTTCTCAGGAATCAGGAGATGGCAAGGTTTATCCACAATTCCCCACAAACTTTGGTTAATAATGACTTTTTGGTCCCTTTTCTTTTTTTTTAAGATTGTATTTATTTATTTGACAGAGAGAGAGAGATCGCAGAGGGAGAGGGAGAAGCAGGCTCCCCACTGAGCAGGGAGCCCGATGCGGGGCTCGATCCCAGGACCCTGGGATCATGACCTGAGCCGAAGGCTGATGCTTAACGACTGAGCCACCCAGGCACCCCAACCTTTTGTCCCTTTTCTGTTTGATAGTTTCTTCATCAAAACTGGGGTTTCTTGCTCTTCTTAGTGCCGCTGGTTTCTCTTGAGGGTGTCTCAGTATATCTCTGAGACAAGCTTCACAGTGTGCTGGCTGCACGTTCACGCGCCTCATCTTGCTTAATCGTCATCCAGCTGAGCGACGGTAGTTCCCCACTTCAGTCATCTCGTGCCGAACTCTGGCTCCAGCTTCACTGTGCCGAGCAGTGGTTCGCAAGGGCCATCCTGCAGGTCGGGGTGCACCCGACGCCACAGATGTTCTCCCAGGCTATGGGAAATGGTAATCAGTGGGTCACGTTCTGAAACTTTAACGGAGCTGCTGGTATTATATTCAGTTATTCCTTTCCTCCTTTTTTTTTTTTCACAATAGCCGTTTTTTTATTATGTTATGTTAATCACCATACATTACATCATTACTTTTTGATGTAGTGTTCCATGATTCATTGTTTGTGCATAACACCCAGTGCTCCATGCAGAAAATGCCCTCTTTAATACCCGTCACCAGGCTAACCTATCCCCCCAGCCCCCTCCCCTCTAGAACCCTCAATTTGTTTCTCAGAGTCCATAGTCTCTCATGGTTCGTCTCCCCCTCCGATTTCCCCCGCTTCATTCTTCCCCTCCTGCTATCTTCTTCTTCTTTTTTTTTTTTTTTAACATATAATGTATTACTTGTTTCAGAGGTACAGGTCTGTGATTCATCAGTCTTACACAATTCACAGCACTCACCATAGCACATACCCTCCCCAATGTCTATCACCCAGCCACCCCATCCCTCCTACCTCCCACCACTCCAGCAATCCTCAGTTTGTTTCCTGAGATTAAGAATTCCTCATATCAGTGAGATCATATGATACATGTCTTTCTCTGATTGACTTATTCCGCTCAGCATAATACCCTCCAGTTCCATCCACGTCATTGCAAACGGCAAGATTTCATTTTTGATGGCTGCATAATATTCCAGTGTGTGTGTGTGTGTGTGTGTGTGTGTGTGTGTGTGTGTACCACATCTTCTTAATCCATTCATCTGTCGATGGACATCTAGGCTCTTTCCACAGTTTGGCTATTGTGGACATTGCTGCTATAAACATCGGGGTGCACATACCCCTTCGGGTCCCTACATTTGTATCTTTGGGGTAAATACCCAGTAGTGCAATTGCTGGATCATACGGTAGCTCTATTTTCAACTTTTTGAGGAACCTCCATACTGTTTTCCAGAGTAGCTGCACCAGCTTGCATTCCCACCAGCAGTGTAGGAGGGTTCCCCTTTGTCCGCATCCCCACCAACATCTGTCGTTTCCTGACTTGTTAATCTTAGCCATTCTGACTGGTGTGAGGTGATATCTCATTGAGGTTTTGATTTGGATTTCCATGATGCCGAGCAATGTTGAGCACTTTTTCATGTGTCTCTTGGCCATTTGGATGTCTTCTTTGGAAAAAAATGTCTGTTCATGTCTTCTGCCCATTTCTTGATTGGATCATTTGTTTCCTTTCCTCCTTATATTAAAAAAATACGTGTTATCTGGTTGATGAAATCATGATGATCATAGAAAGCTTTGTTAAGGGTCCTCCTTATCAAAGTAAAACATTTTCAGGTCTTTGTTGACCCTCTTCCTTCCCCACTGTTTTCCCTTGTTTGTACATCTAAAAACCTTGCAACACTTGGTTTAAAAAACACTGTCTCAAACAAACCCCCTCGGCAGGTACTCATGCCAATTTTAAGAGCCAACCTATGAAAATAGAAAGGGGAAGAAGATATTTTGTAGACATTTAATAGATACTTAGCAATTATTTCGAGTTTATATTTGATCTAGGGGCGATGCAGCCTTGTATGGTACAGCTTCCCTTTGATTGTCCTCTTCACTGGGTTTTTACCTGTGGATATTTAATAAAACTCTTGACAAGAAATATTTTTCAGGGAAATGTTATTCCTCAAAAAGGTATCCCTTCCCACCTTTGCGTGAAAGCCTGGTTCAGGAATCACTTTGATTTGTCACGTGTTGGTCCTTTTCAGTGCTCATAGCGCTTTGCTTTACTTTTTCCTCAGTGATACGAATGAAGTTGACATCCCACCCAACACCCGAGTTGGCACCAAACGCTACATGCCTCCCGAAGTGTTGGATGAGAGCTTAAATAGAAATCACTTTCAGTCTTACATTATGGCTGACATGTACAGTTTTGGACTCATCCTCTGGGAGGTTGCTAGGAGATGTGTATCGGGAGGTAAGTAACAGTGATAACGTTGGATCTACTACAGATCCTTGCTTTCTGATCAGAAATCAGAGTTATCATATTGTCCCCCAAGTCAGATTTTCTTTTATTTTCCACCTTATTTCTGCTGGTGCAGTCACAATCCTCCCAGGAAATGATATTTAACATCTTAGAATTCTGTTTGACCTCCTCTTTCCAGCTTCTTCTCACCAACCCTCTCCAAGGCCCCGTTCCCTGTGGTTCCCTCTCCACAGATTAAGGTAGAGACAGGGATGTGGGGTGAGACACCCATTCTTTACCCCTCCCCCCACTTGACTTTCTATATAGTTCTTCAAAAAGCAATTTGAAAATATCAAATTTTTTATCAAAAGTTTTTATCAAAAGAAAATTAAAGCATAAGAATGTTGCTACTGGTCATGGTAATTTTTCTGCAAACAAGGATTCCCTAGTAAGATGATGTCAGAAGGCATTTTTAAATATTCAGAGGCATTATTTTTGCTTGTTGTATTTAGTTTACTGCTGCGTCATCTGTCTTTAAATAGATTCCAACGCTTTTTAGGTGAGAAGCTGAATTGTAGGCGCTTCATGAAGTGACAAGTATCATGTTTATGGTTATACTCATGGCCATGCTCGGTTAGAAACCATGCTGCTGCTGCTGATCATGGCCAGTTTGAGCTCACTTTTGTGAGACCTTGAGCTTGCCCAAGGTTCTGAAAGTCCAGTGAACACTTAATGATACTGGGATTCGTTCTTGGACCTGCCATTTATTATCCGTGAACCTCTGACAAGTTACTCAGCTTTGTTCCAGTTCTTTCATCTTAAGAAGGAAGTGAATTAAAGAGAAGTAAAACTGCCTGGTACATAAGTAGCATTCAGTATATCTTAGCTCTTATTTAATATTTTCCTTTTGGTTAGTAGAGGCTTAACTTATATTTAGATTCACACTTAAATACAGAGGAGAGACAGTTAATCAACAGGCATTTATACTTTGGGAGACAGATCGTGATGCAGTGCCACCATGCCTTCTAATCACTCGGGGAGCTCTGAGTCTCTTCTGAGCTTAATTTAAAATAGAACATATTTCCTCTCAAGTGAGAGACCTCCAAAAAGAAAGTCAACATGGGAAATGTTTCCTAACCAGATAGTGAATAAATTCCCCGTCATCTATGAAGAAGGAAAGAGCTAAGCAAAATATAAGTTAACTAATTGTCTATGCCTTGCTTCATGTTTTATAAAGAGTAGATGAGCCTATTTTAGGATAACATACTTACACTCAGGATTGGTTTAGAGAAGTTGAAGGAGTAGTAGAGCACAAGATTACCTTCTAATTATGTTTTCCTGAACATCTAAAGCAAGTGGGGCCACAAGAACCTATATTTAGAAGCCTCTGGGTCAGAATACAGAAGAAACAATCTGCTTAAAAACAAGCTGGTCTTATAAAAAACAGCAGGATGTTAATTGCTTTACTAGGTCTGTCTTTGCCTGCGCATTTTGGAGAGGTACTAAGGTGTTGCCTTATCTCTTTAAGAGATTGGTCTGTGTTTACCAGAGATGTTAGATTCTAGGCTCTGCGCCATATCAACTCTATGGCTTTGGGCAAGTTACTGAATCGCTCAAAACCAAGTTTCTCATCTGGATAATATGGATAATAATGCTCTCTCATAAACGTGTTTCTAAGAATTTAGCAAGATAAATTATACAGCGTACTTGCTGGTATATAGTATACCATACTTGGTGTAGTGTGTACCCTAGTGTATAGCATACTTGCCTGGTATACAGTAGGCTCCTAGCAAGCAAGTTTGTCTTCTCTTTCCAGAAAGGCAAAACACACAAAATTCTATTCTCCAACACTTTCCTTTATGAGGATGTTGGAAGATTTGGGCTTGTCTTTCTAGTCTAGACACTTTTGGGTGAAGTAGAGTCTGGATGTAGATCTTCTAAACTTCGGAAGAAAAAGAGAATTTTTGAGGTTTCAGACACAATTAAATGGCAGCCAGTATGGACATTTTGATAGCTTACTTGCATAAGGAGAAGGAGGTAAGGCCTATAGTTCCAAGATGGACTTTGATTACTTCCTAACTGTATGTGGTTGGCTCTGTGTCTGTTGTCATATATACCCCACCACGGTGCCTCATTCCAGCCAGGTGATAGCACCAGCATTAGACACAGAGGGAAATCTGAGAGGAATCAGACAGACTTGGTCTTTGCCCTCACGGTGTTTCCAGAACCGTTGTCTTGAGAATTAGCAAGGGAGGAAGAACTCAAATGAAGTGAGCAACCCCTTGTGTTAGGGCCTGGGCTTTTAGTATTTCCTATAGAATCGAAACACAATGGAAGGAACTATTCACATAGATACATATAATTACGCTGTGTGGGCTCGGTGAGGGACAGAATAAATGGTGAGTGGGAATAGTCTGAGGAAACTTTTGAACCTTCTGGTCCTTTATATATGGGTTTGAGTTTGCAAGAAAGGGCATAATACAGACTCCAGATTTTGTCCGAGTAAACCCCAGCAAATTTAATGATGCATTGGATAAAATCCACCAACTTGGTAGTATCATCTTGTTCAGATACAAAGCAATGACATTTCTATAATAGATGATTTTAGGAAAGGGAGGAAATGTGCTCCAGATAGATTGCTCACTCCGAGTGGCATCCTTTAAGGACTGAGGCTGCTTATAATTATTGTGAGGAGTTAATCAGATAGGGTTGAAAAGAAGATAGAAGTAGCCTACTTTTCTAAAGGACAAACGGAATAAGGTAGAAAGTAGATACTAGGATATGAGATGGAATTTGTCATGATAAGGGCCATTTTCCGAAGATGACAGACTTATATTTCTTAACCCTTCTTTCAACAGTACCAATTTTTTTCTGATAATGTATTTTTTTATAGAAAGTTTTGTGAAATACAGAAAATTTAAAGAAAAAAACAGTAAAAATCAGACAGTACTTGCACCTAAAAAAAATCATGGTTAATATTTTTAGGTGTGTATAATTTTTAAAAATGTAAATGTGGAAAAATGCACTATTATGATTAAGCAGAAAGAAAATGTAAATCTCACATTTTGTTCAAGTATGATACACTGCCAAATTTGTTATGAGATTCATAATCTCATATTGCAGTAATAGAAACAGTCACATATTATGCGTTATGAGTTTGGGATGTGTCTGCCAAATTTGCATTGAGATTTAATGTAGACTTTTTAAAATTTGGCATACAAGACCCTTTATAAAATTGGAAATAAATTTGAGATGGCTTGTTTTACTTAGCTTTGGGAAATTAGAAAAAAAAGGCTTGAAACCCTATAATAATATGTTTCATTAGGTTTTCTATTTATGTTTTTTAATTCGATTAGGTGTCATTTGGGCACATTTTTTTTTCAAGACTTATTTTGCAGTTTTTTTAGCCTGAACTTGGCTTGAGTACTTGATAGAACTTTGCTTTGAGAACAGTTTGTATGTTAGACTTTTATTTCCACCTCCCATAAGATAGTAATAGTAATAATAATTTAGAAACAACCCATATTTTCAGGTATAGTGGAAGAATACCAGCTTCCGTATCATGATCTGGTGCCCAGTGACCCTTCTTACGAGGACATGCGAGAGATTGTTTGCATCAAAAAGCTCCGTCCCTCATTCCCCAACCGGTGGAGTAGTGATGAGGTAAGGCTTGAAGTAACCATGTGGCTATGACCAGTTTCCAAACAGACTTTACTCTTTTTTGCCCAAATCCTGGAGGATACTCATTACAGGAATCCTCCTTCCTTGTTTTGATGATGGTGGTGGTGGTGCTTTGCGCAGTCATTGATATGGAGCTAAGTGTTGTATGTTAAATTATCTGTTTCTTTTTGCCAATTTGAGTTTGCTACTTCTAGAGTATATTGGGTGGGTTACCACTTAGCCTGTACAATAGGTAACACTATTCCATTTATTTGTGATGTCCTGACATTTGCATAAAGGATGTTATTTCTGTGTGTGTGTCTTTAAAGCACCTTGAATTTTCTCCATGACAGACGAGCGTACACCATTCTCTCATCTTGATGAGAGAAAAGATAGGCATCTGCAGAATCTAGTTTTCTTTACACAGAAGGGATACGAGCCTGTAGTTGAGCTGCCTGACTGCGCCGTGGATCTTTGTTAGTAGGGATGATGTGATGCGCTTTGAAGAAATCCATATTCAGCCTGGCTCTCAGGAGACAGTGATGAAACCTAAACAGGGCCGAAAAAGCGCTGTTCAGAAGGAGGAAATGAGTTGGGTGGGCCTTGCCTTTCCTGTCTCCTGTCGTCCTCCACATCTTGCCCATCCATCCTCCAAGCTGACAAACTCACCAACTCCCGGAGCCCTCTGGCAGGTGGGGACATTCAGAGATGAGTTTGAAGTATCCCCGGGATAAAACACAACCCCCGCAAAACCCACCTCATCAAACATATACCAAAGCCAATGCAAACACATGGAAAGAGCACTGTTGATAAGCTAATTCTTTAATGTTAAATGCATTTAAAAGCAACCTCTGGTTCATTGGTTTTGTGTCTCGTTACTGAAATGCTAAATAATGCCTATGTTTTCCAATGAGCTATGCAGAAAACTTTATGAGGTGCTGGAGTTACATTATTTTGAGGGTGGTTATGGGCATTGGTATTACTCAGAATCCCTTCTCTGAGGAGTTCTAATGAAGTGAAATTGTGCTTTTCCACAGGAAGACCAATAATTGATGTAGCACAGGAGAGCACAGGAGAAAGTTTTAGCGAGGCTGTGCACAGGTTATTAATCTTGTTAAATGGTACAGTGCAATGCTATTATTTTGGCAGACAGCTGTGATTTAGGAATAACCATGTTTGTTTGAATAGTATGGAATTAGATAGAAGATTTAAGCTTATCAAGGATTATAAACAATGTAGGAGTGTGGAGTGGAATATAGACTCCCTGGGTATTTTTGTATTTGGTTAAGACTGACTTCAAAGACACTCTTCTACAATCAGCAAAACCACCTGCTTGCTGCTGTCATGGGGAAGACAAGAAAATGTTTTAGTCGTTTAGAATTTGCATGACCAAAGAATTTTTATGGAGTTTTGTCTACATGGTTTTAGGAGTATCTTTGAAAAATATTATCCGAACTTCAGAAACCGTACACTAAAGGCCACATATCGAATGGCAACCTTGTAGATAATATATTTCTCTAGTGTTACTCCTGTTTTCCTTTCCCTCCCTACAGTGTCTAAGGCAGATGGGAAAACTCATGATGGAATGCTGGGCTCACAATCCTGCGTCAAGACTGACAGCCCTGCGTGTTAAGAAAACACTAGCCAAAATGTCAGAGTCCCAGGACATTAAACTCTGATGTGAGGGGAAGAAATAAGCATCTCTGGAGAAAGCCAGTAGATATTCTTCTGTTTGTGGGCAGAGCAAAAGATGTTCCAGAAGCATCCACAGTACGAGCCTTGAACATCATCCTGCTTCCCAGTGGGTTCAGCCTCACCTCTCAGGGAGCAGCCTGGACAAAGAGAAGTTCCCAGAAACATGTTCTCATCATGTCTGTTTGTAGGAGGGAAAAACCGCTTGGGTAACTCGTTCAAGATATATGATGCATGTTGCTTTCTAAGAAAGCCCTGTATTTTGGGATTGCCTTTTCTTCTTTTTCCAAAAGATGCTTTAATTTTGCCAAAATAGAACAAATAATGTAGATGTTTTAAGGTTTATACTGTTACAGTTTAAATAACAACAATGGAAGTTCTTCCCGGAAATTCTGCTGGAAGGTAAATTTTAAGATATCTTTTTCCATTAGTGAAATTTTGTTGCACTCTGCACACCAAAGGACAGTCTGTGGAGTTGGAGAACATAGAATGGAACTCATCTGAAAGTCTTCCCGCTTCTGCCTCCTCAGACCACTTTGGCCAGCCCTGCCTTTAGGGGCCGCCGCAGCAATGTGAATGCACCTGGGCACAAATACCACCTGTCTGGGGCCAAGTTTTGGGATTCCTGCGGGTGCCCTTTTGTAGCTTCAGACGATATGGAACAAATGAAGTTTTTCTGTGGCTCCGTTAGTAGTAGTTAAGTGTCGATGTCATTCTTCAGAACCACTTTGTGTTTCTGATTCTTTTAAGGCATTTCTGTCATGGTAAAATCCTTTCCTTTTCATTAAACACAAACAAAGGTGGTTTTTTTTTTATGTGCAGAGAATTGACCCACGCCTGGTTTTGATCTCTCAAATGAAGAGATCAATATGAAATAAAATTGCCAGCAGTTGGGTTGAAAACAAGGCTCTTTAAAATAGAGATAATTTGTTCCTGCGTTGTAAGAAAAGTGTGTCAGTCGGATAGAGGATGAGGGTGGGGGTGCAAATGCCCTGTTTCTTACCTATGCAGACAAGCCCGTCCTAGAAGCACAAGGGAAAAGGACGCACACCTTATTGTGTATAGATAAAGACGGTTTCTTTCTGTAATTGTCTCTTTTGTGTCTGAGTGAAGGGAAGGAGAGGAAAGTATGTCAGGTTAATTTAACTGATTGTAACTTAAAATAGAAATATAACCTCCAGATGGAACAGCAGAAAGAACTACAAAATATTGTAGCTGCTGTGACTTATTATTCTAAAAGAGATCTAGATCGAGCATGTACATCTTACATGGTAAGTTCGCATCTTAGAGGAGTGCTGACTCAGTTTATTTTATTCTCGCAATGCTCAGTTCACTTTTTAATTTATTTATGTATTTTTTTCTTCTCTGTGGCACTTCTGCAAAACATCTCCTCACCTACTCAATTCTTTGAGGTTTTAAACCTCCGAGGAACGTTGAGTCAAATCATTGACAGGGCCAATATTCCTTAGCAACAGGAACAAAAAGCTCAGAATTGTGCGCACCCCTCTCAACCGTGTTCATTTAATTTCCTTACTTTTCTTTGGTTTTCTTTTGTTTCCTCGAAAATTCTGCAGTGTTCAGTAGAGAATTGGGAAGTGCTTCTCCTTGGTCTTTTTAAAAACGACGTTCCTTCCAGAATACTCCAGGGGGCGCTGTTTTATAACACATTTTCACCACTTGGTGCCTGAAGGATGGAGGGTTTTTGAAAAATTGACAGCTGCAAGAAAAATGAAAAAATATTCTCCTCACTTCTGAAGGAGGCTTGCAGCTGGTGACTTGTTCATCCTGAAAACCTCTTAGAGCACAGAGTGGTTGTGAGCCCTGCGTAAGTTTGGGAGAACAAGGAGAATTGGTGTTCTCCACTCTAAGCATTCACTTCCCAGTGCTTCATACCTGCATTTTGTTTGTAACAAAGAAAGATTTTCTTAACCCTTGAAAAGGAACAAAATTTCTGTGTTTCAAAAATTACAGTTGTTTCCAAATATAATTGTAATTAGAATGCTGCTTGTAGTGATATTAAAATCACCAAAACAGCAATGTAAACAAATGTTCCTTTCCCTTGTGTCAAATTGTATTCTTTGTTATAGCTTGGAAGGAATATGTACCTAGAACTACGTGTGATAATCATCTGAGCCGTGGAGAGACGCTTCAGTGCCTCTACTTTGATAATCTACAAACAAATGAGTAAACACGGATGCCCGTTAAGTGGGGTCACGTTTGTGTTTCTTGGTTTTCCCTCAATTTAAGCGAGGTTGGGTTTGCTTACCTCTTAGATAAAAATTTGTGTTCTTTTTGGCAAATTTTTATACATAGATAACTTCAAATCAAAATATTTTGTGGGGAGGCGATGATTTGAAAGTAAACTAGATTCTTAGAGAGGCGTTGGTTCCAATGAAGGATGGGAAGAAATTAAAACAGCATACAAATTTCTTCTATATTATTCGTTTAGTTGTTTTGGAAAAATCTAGAGCTTACTTTCTAATTCTCAACCTGATTTACTCACTATGAACATTTAAAAAGTACTCTTGAGATATTTAAAAAGATCCATTTAGTTATTAGAGTCTTTCAATGAGATAGGAATTTATTTATGAGTAGATTTTTCTTTGTGTCTTATTACCAAAATCCGCCTTACTTAGGGAATACTAAATTTAAAGAGACTACCTACTCACTTCCAAATAATCCTTTTTGGTTTTTAAATTTTTAGTAGCTCAGAAGTGAATTTTATTTTATTTTTTATTTTTTTTGTTTTGTCTTTCAATAGAATAAGGGGGAACCTGGAAATTAATATAGTTGATTGCCTCCTTTCAGGACTCTTTCAAAGACTAAGATTTTTCTCCTAATCGCTCCCTCCCCTTCAGGGGAATCTTAAAATATTAGTTGTTAGCTAATATAAGTTTGGTATGCTAAGATGTTCAGGTTTAGAGTTTATGTATGTGTGTATATATTATATAAATATATATGTATATATAAATACTATGCTCAGTTTGGAGTCTGGCACAACTCCATTATGTGGATTACAGAGTAAAATATTATGGATAATAAAGTACTAAATGAAACATAATATTTATTTATGAAAGTGTGTAGTTGGTTAAGTCACAAGGGACAGTGCTATGAACATTGCGTAGGAGGAGACAGGCCTTTGACTGCCGGACAGCACCACTCTCAAGTCACTCGTGATCATTCTTTTTATTCTTTAAACATAAAGCTTCTTAGAAAACATGCCACGATTTTATGTACAGGAAATCCTTTGACACATTTCAGTTGTTGTATAGTCAGGTATAGGAAATACTGAATAATGACAGAATTTCATGTTCCTAAGAGTCATGCATACTCATTAGAAGTTACGGTGGTTTACATTGTTGGTCTGTTCTGGTTCTTCTTTGTGAGCAGAAAGGCACTGAAAGAAGCCGAATTTTTTAAACTTGAATAGTTCTGTAGTTATATCTCCTTAGAAAACCCAGTCACACAGCAGTGGGAATGAAAGACATGGCATCAGAAGTGATTTAATTTAGCAATTATGATTCCTCTTGTAAAACAAAACAAAACACAATGCCATATTTTTGGGAGAAAAGTTGGCAATATATAAGGGGTTTTGTTGTCTGTTTCAAAAGAAGATTCATTTGTGTTCTTTTGGGGAACCAGTGCCTTATTGAATTTGTATATACTGTAATTATTCAGGACTAGGGAACAAACAGTTGTATTTGTTACAAATTGTATATGGCTTTGTTTTAACATTCCCCGAAATAAAATGGTTTCTTTCTCCCCTTGGAAAGAACATGTCTGTTATCTTATAGTTGTGCCTTTTTTCTGTCTCTGAAAATATCACATTTGGAACAGGCAGGAAGGCAGCCATGAAAGAGAGCGATGCAGGTAAGTTGGTATGTTTGGGGCGGGAGAGCAGGAGAAATGGTCTGATGGCTTCTGTTTTCTCTGTAATTAGTCATCTGTTGAGAGTGAGAGGAAAGGTAGGGAAGTCAGTGGTCTGGGAGAAGTGAGACAGGTTAAAATTGCACTGTGGAAAATTATAGCCCAGATGGTTATGGGTGGCCCCGAGGGCCCAGTTCGCTGATGAGACCAACTGTGTGGCTTAGTGGCCCAGAGTATGGCCTGTGGTGTCTCTCATCCCCTCAGTTGTGCGACAGTAGGCCTGTGTTCACTTCTCAAAGACCCCATTTCTGTTCCTTGAAGAGGTGGATAATATTAGCATCTGATGCATGGAGCACTTCTGAAGATGAAATAATCCATGCGTCGCGTGTAAAGTCAGCACTCGGCCGCTACTGAAGATTAGCTCTCAGTACAAAGTCATAGGGCCACCTTTCTGTGTAGTTTCTGTCGGCTCCCAAAATGTAGGCTTGGAGACCACAACAGACGGATTCATTCAGGGTTGAGGGTTTTCGGGCATGTGCAACAATGGATCATGCAGAACGTGGCCTACCGACATCCGGGAGATGGCTGAAGTGGCCGAGTCGGGAAGGGATTAAAGTGGAGGCACTTTAAGCTGGTGGGTTGAGAGAAACTAGGTCTCGGCACAGAGAACACTACTGGGGTTGAGGTGGCCTGCCTATTAGCAGCGACTGAGAAAGGGACTGCAGCCCGCATCTCGCCTCAGGGCGGTGGGCAACAAGGCTAAGGACAGGCGGAAGGGTGTGATCTCGGGAGTGGAGGATTTCATTAGTGGACAAGATTATTGGTAACAAAAGAGGAACCTAAAAGTCAGGCCTTTGGATCAGTCTTGGTGGATCCTGGAGCTCCTAAGGATGGTAGGCAGTCTAAGAAAAGGAACATGGAGAGGCCAAGCTCTCCAGGGCCACAGGAGAATGGAGGGGGGGGGAGCAGTCTGTGAGGGCAGAGAGTAGAGACTGGGGCCAGTTGGGCCTCATGGGCCGAAATGCACAGCAGTGGGTTCCACGCAAGGGCAGTGGTCTGGAAGCAAGAGAACAGCAGGAGAAAGGCCCCAACTTTCCTCCCAACTGTGACGTATGTGGGGTATGGAGGACTGAGGCCATTGCTGTTGCCCTGGGAACAGTGTCCCCTTGGACAAGAGAAAGCCCTCTGCAAAGGGAGAGGGAAAGTATTAGGGGATTTTTTCCTTGAGTGTGAATCTTGGAAGGCAGTGTAGAAAGTTAAGTTTTGAGGAGATCTGTTGGAGCCTGGATCAGGAGAGAGGAAACCCAGACTTGTCTGGGCACGGAGAATATGTAGGAAGGCTTGCATCGGAGTTCCTGGGGACTCAGGAGTTTTCATGTGATTGGCTGTGTTTAGCCAGTTGCGCTTATGCCAAGAGAATTCATCCCAGCACTGGGATTCAGATCAACTTGGCTCACGTTCCATGGTTTGCACTTTCTCACTTCTGTGGAAGTACATAGTCTGAGCACCATTTTCTCCCCTGTAAATGGGATAAAAATACCCATCTCAAAGGGCTCTTCGGAGGAACAAATGAGATGAATATGTGAAGTACGGGAAGGCCCCACTTCAAGCACATAGCAGGTGCTCATCAATATTGCTTTTCCTTACTGATAATTAGCTCCACGGGATATAAAAGCTAGGGACAGTGAAAAGAAGTCACAGCTCGCTGTGGGCACACCTCTTCCACCCCCTCTGGGCCCCCTCTGTATGCTACGGGCATTCATAGGACTTAAAGGCAGATGGATAGTGAATCCCAGCTGAAGAGAACAGAGTCTTCTCTTGGCATTGGTCATTTTCTATTTTTTCTGGTCACAACTGCGACGTACAGATGACCCCACTCTCAGAAGGTCCTGTACCAAGTTGAACATGTCTGTGTGATGGCATTTGTTATAGCTCTGGACTCACCTTTCATTTCCTACCTAGTAGTGCAGTTGTTTGTAAACGTCATTTAAAATCAGATCTCTCAGGGTAGGGCCTCATATTCCTTTTATCCACAAGCTCCCCAGGGCCTTCTGATGCCACTCTTCTAAGACTCTGGGTCTCCCCATTAACTGCCCATCACTATCACCTGGGGGCATTAAACACTCTTATCAACCATGCCACACCCTGGATCTATAAAATCAGGATCTCTGGGGTTGGGAGTCAGGCACTAATAGTTTCTAAAGCTCCTCAGGTGATTCCAGTGTGCACAGAGACTTGAGAGGTACCAATCCTAGAACCTCATCCTGTCCCCAAGGGAGGTTGTGATTACCATCCTTGCAGGATCTAAGAGCTTTTCTGTGCTGCTAAAGAGACACGGTGACTCTTCACACAGAGGGAGTGTTTCGTTATGAAGAAACAAAGGAGGGGGTGCCTGGATTGCTTGGTCGGTTAAGTGTCCGACTTTTTTTTTTTTAAGATTTTGTTTATTTGACAAAGAGCATGCACACCCCCAAGCAGGTGCTCGTCAATATGGATGGAAAGGGAGAAGCAGGCTCCCCACTGAGCAAGAAGCCTGATGCAGGACTCCATCCCAGGACCCCGGGATCAGGACCTGAGCCGAAGGCAGACGTTTACCCAACTGAGGCACCCAGGCGCCCCAGTGTCCGACTCTTGATCTCAGGTCTTGATTTCAGGGTTGTGAGTTCAAGCCCCACATTGGGTTCCACACTGGGCATGGAGCCTACTTAAAAAAAAAAAAAGAAAGGAGGTAGCACTCTCTGTTGCTTATAAATATAATTTATTACCTGTTTAAAAATTCTTTCTTACATTTTGTACATGTTGGCTGACAGAAGAAATGCAGGCAATTTACAAACCAAGGGACTGCAGGAAAAAGTGGGGGGAGGCAGCAGAGAGAGAAGAGCAACACCCAGAGCGGGCATCCCTCACCTCCACCACACAGCGGCATGGCGGATGGGATGCCCAGAGAGCACTCCTCCACCAGGGATTTTCTAGAAAAGGAATTGCATAGAAGATACAGCAAGAGGGAACTCCACAACAACAAAAGAAGTGTTCCATATCTGAAAAGCCAAAGTTGTGTTGTCGTGTTTCCAAAAGAAAAATGACAAAGCACAAAATCTCAATCCGACATTTCTGCAGTTGAACTTGTTCCAAAGGGAACAGCAGGTGGATAACACAGGCTCTTCACCACAGACTGCTGGGGATTTTTTCTCTGACAAACATTGCTTGTCTTCTTTAGAAAGCAAAGAGGAAGGTCACCAACTTGCTACAGCTCCACATTCAACTCAATGAACACATCCAACACTGACATCCCACACACACACAGCGATGACACTCCCTGCAATTGGGCTAAATGCATTCTGTCTGGAGGGCGAGGGCTTCACTACCAATAGCAGGTCTAGGGAAGAGTGAAGAGGAGAATGCAAATCACTCACTCAACTTGTTCTGATTGCTGTCCTCTTTATTCCCCAAGGCCAGGAGGGGTGTGCACTTGAACTCCCACCCCTACGATTACAGGCGTCACATGAGACTTGAAGAATATAGAAAGGCAAAGAAAGGCATTTTCCACTGGCTGTCGATTTCTCGCTCTTTCAAGCTGTTCTAAGACAGGTTTGTTTTAACATGTAGACGATAGCTCAGGTTGTGATTCCTGGATGTTGCCTCATCATAGTGCCAAGGTTCAGAGGTCAAGGGCTCATCTACTCCTAGGCTACCGCTCAGCAACACCTGCCTACGATTCACATTCTGAACTCCAGAAGTGAGGGTTATTCCCCCCTGGGTCAGTGCCATCAGGTTCAACCCCAGCTCTGATGGTGCCAATTCCAACAGGTCTTTGGAATTGAAGGATGACACATAGAACTTGGTAATATTTATAAGGGACCCTGAAGTCTGATGGCCTTCAGCAATTTATCATTTTGCTGAGGCACAAATCTGAAATGGCAAGTGAAGAGGCTGGTAGGCAGCAAACACTTTGGCTGGTGGGCAAGCTGCCTGTATCTTGGGGCAGCTTCCTTGTTTTCTTCTCAACAACGGGTGGGCCCCAACTCTTGTGAGGTTCTGCAGAGATTCCCAACTTGGGATTCCAGAAGAGCTCTTCAATACCAAGAGTCTTAAGTATATAGCCAGCTGGGCAACAGCATCTTAGAGTTGTGTGGTTTTGTGTATGAGTATGTGTGTAGAGTTCCTGTTGGTTTGTCCCGGTGATGCCTCCCGCAACCTTTCTAAAATAGGTCCAGGGGCATATATTACATTTGGTTGAGTTGAGACCATTACTATCCCACCACAAATCAATACAGAGAGGGGACAAGCCTACCAGAAAAGCTGGGAGCCATGAACTCTTTTGAAGACAATTTTTTTTTTTTTTTTTAAGTAGGATTCCTGACAGTGGGGGCAACCCCAGGGCCAGTAAGTCTGATGGATCAGGGAGTAAATTGTCAGACCTGGTTTGTAGGGAAAACCTACCCAGTGACCTACAATGCCATCTCCCTGCCTTTCAAAAATAGCAGGTTTTAGGCATGAATTTTGGAAACTTATGACTCCATTTGGCTAACTTGACCTGTATGGACACAGGTTTAAATTAACATTGGTTGCAATGTCTTTATTCCCCTTATGCCTTATTCCATTAAAAAAAATCATTATGGATACAAGGGAAATCTCTCAAAGTGATTATTACAGCCAGAGATTACACAAATAGATTTCTTAGTGTAGAGAAACAGCACTTCATTGCACAGAGGCAAAGTTCAAAGGATTTTAGTCAACATTAGCTCAGTAAGGTTAAAAAAAACCCCACAAAAACAAAAAAAACCCAAAGTGTAATAGTTGGTCCTATGAGGCACTCGGAAGGTAAAAAAAATGTTTTATTACCTTGAGATAATCAATAATAAAAATATTTTTCCTTATTGGATCTATAAAATCTAATGCTCATTGACCACTATCATCTTTACAAATAATTGGTTTTAAGCAACAACATTCTGATTCACAAAAGCTCCTCTATTCTCAAAGAAGATGGATAAAACCCAGTTTCATGTCAGCTGTTTCCATGGTCATCCTTTCCCTCATTGGCCTTGGATTGGTACTGAGGTCTCCATGTGAAACAGGTAACTTGTCCAGAGCAACTGCTCAGCAAAAGCTAAAGCTCACATTCAACTTGAAGACTGAAAATTCAACATGTAAACTTCTTCTACTTTCTTTGCACTCTTTTGCAGGTCCTCATATAGTTTTTATTTGCTTGGCCCCATGGGGGCAGACCTTCTATTGGCAAAGGCTTGTGAATTTGGGGAAGTTAGTGATCAGCTTCGGACCCCCTTCCTCACACACTGACGACAGAAGTAGACCAAAAGCATAGCCACTGTGGTCCTGACGTGGTGATAGACATGGGGAGACACAAGATGAGAGCCTCATGTGCTCCTCTCCGGAAGCAGAAAGTCTTGATTCCACCGTCTGAATGCTTACTTTGAAGATATCTAACTTGTAGGAGAACTATCTTTTAAAAAAATTACAGGATGTCTAATTTCAGAGTATCCTAAACTCAAGACTCCATGACTTCTTCCTAAAGAATGGCTCTACCGGTTGAGTTGAGAGAGTAAAGTACCTAAAGTAATTGTAGATATGAAAATGGAGAATGGTTTATCCAGTTTCATTTGCTACCTCACCCAAAGTCTTGCCCTGCCTTCCTGGAAGAGCTTGTATTGCTCATGTGAGGATGGGGATTTTTCCTTCTAGCGGAGGTGAGTGTCCACATTGGTGTCCACACAGTTTGTGAAAAGGCTGTTAGCTGTTACATGTCTGTCATCACCATGTGTCCAGTTACCAATTCTGAATCCAATTTCTATTCCTTCCAGATCACTCTAAGGAAAACTGAGTGAAGTGGTGAGAAGATGAAAATACGATGAAACCTCGGCCTTTAGACAGCCAAACTCAGAAGAAAGGAAGCTTCTAGAAGTCCTGCATTAGTAATCACAATTGTTGCTTCCCTAGACACAGTTCTCTCACTTGCATACATAAAACATTTCGAAGTGGATGCTTCTTACATTTCCAAAAATAAATATTAGAGAACTAAAAGGAGATTTAAAACATAAAAAGCCCAATCAAAAATGTAAATGATACGAATGACAACTCTTCAGAAACTGTTTTATACAGATATTTATGTATTTCTATCATTTCTATTACCAAAAACCAACTTGAGACCTATTGTGTGAGAAGGAGTTGATGACATGGCTAGCCTCGATGTAATTTTGGTACGGGTAATTTAAGTAAAAGAGTGTTACAATAAGAAAACTATATATTTGAAGTGAAAATTTACCCACAGCTATCTGTCATAAAGGTCCTGTTGACTTTTTAGCTCTCAATTCCCTTTGCCAAACAACTTTTAGTGAATTTTTGTTAAACTCAGGGTAGACTGTTGTGCACCACTAGATGGCACCATGCACAAATGATAGGTGGGTTCCCCCCTCCCCCCCCCCCCCGCCACCGCCCCATCCAAAGGAAGTAAGCATGTCCTTCCCCATAAGCTATGTAGAAGCCCTAGGAATCAAAGGCAGAACATGTCACATAGAATGATGAAGTGGCTCTCTATGAAATGAGCTGTTGAGTCTGGACCTTCTAAGTTTGAGAGCAATCTAACAGCTATTATTTTACTCCAAAGGAGAAGGAAATCAGAATTCGTAGTGAAAATTATTTGACATAAGTGGTGTGTTGTACGTAAGGGAGTTGCCATTCACTCGATGGGGAACATAACAGGTTCTATGACAGATGAGTACCTCACTTAGATGGAATCAACCACTCTTCCCTTTGTCACGAGGCATGGAAGTTCCTTTGAGCATCCTTCAGATGTCTAATTCTTGATTTCCATAGATGACAGCTCCCAAACCAGGAACGACGAGAAATCTTGAGAAGTTATTTCAAATGGAAGTAATGGACAATAGCTCTCTTTCCTCCTCTTCCTTTTAAAAAAATATCTATTTAAAAATCTTTTTATGTAGAATACAGTGTTACTATCTTTTGGTCAAATATGCATTGGTACAAACATTATCCACTGAACTTGTTTATTACTGCAAACTCTTCCTTTCACATTAGCATAACAGAGACTTATGTATGGTGCAGGGGGGTGGCCTGAGAGAGACAGGTTATAGAATGTATGCCTAAAACAGAAGATAAGAAACAAAAGGGGTGAGAGAAGAGGCTCTGTACCAGAGTATCAATAGTTCCTCAATGAGGAGGATGGAGGAGTCTTGGGAATATCAAGAAGTCACCAAAATAGAAGAGGAAATACATGTCTAAAGAAAGAGGAAAATATATAGAATGATTTCTCATTCAACTCCAGTCAGCAACCTGTATACCTCCAGCCCAAAAGTTAACCACAGCCATGTTTCAAAGGCTCTGATTCATCCACATGGGTGCTTGTTGTTCAGTCGTCGTTTGGCTACTGGCTGCTGACCCTGGATTTCCCACTTGCTGAATGAATTGAGTCCCTGGGTTAAAACAAAGAGCCTGTGACAGTTCTAAGGGAATACCATAGTTTACACAAAGTCGTCTTTGGACTACTTCTCAGTTAACTTTTTTTTTAATTTAAAAAAGTCTAATTAAGACAATAATAGAACATAATTTGCAATCGGTCAGGAAGGCAAGTGGCCCCAAGAGAGGAAAGAAAATGATAATAAAGGTATGCTGTCTCTTGGCGAGCAGCCCAGAGACAAGGCTTGAAAGCGTGACAAATAGGCTACAAGTTAGAATCCTCCTCTTCCAAGCTGGAACTATTTGGAAGGCATACTGTAGCCTGGGCAAGAGACTAGCTGACTCTTTAAAGCCTCCAGCTCAGAGTCCATGGTGGTCCTTGGACTGATGAAGGAGACTGGAGACATCATAGTAGGAGTCCAGCATTTTAGAACCTTGAGAAGACCTACTACTTCTACCCCTTCATTCGACATGTGAGGGAACTGAGGTCCAGTGAGGTTAAATGACTCTCCCAGGGGAACACAGCTAGACAATGACACACCCTGAATGAGAACCGGGTTTCCAGTTGCCAGCTCAAAGGCTGTTCCTCCAGGCACACAGCCTCTCCAGTAGACAGAGTACCCGGGCGGGGGGGGGGGGGGGGCGGTGTCAGGGTTTCGGTGACAGAACCACAATGTTGAGTGAACTTAGTCGAGAATGCTTCTCACAACAAGACTTGGAGGAGAAAGACCTTGCCTGAGCCAGCTGAAAGAAGAGACTGACAAAGCCAGTAAGCATTGACTATGTTTCTGGGGCAGAAGGATGCAAGAAGATAAAAGGTCAAGGAAGCAAAGCCTGTTTAATTAAACTGGTGACCACGCCCACCTTATCCCATCAGAAGGTGAAGCAGGTCTAGTCAATACCTAAATACTAACAGTACTGCTAACAAAAACAGAAGTTAAAAGAAAATCCTTTTACTAGAATACCTGTAAATACTCATCAATAATAGTAATAGTGATAATAATAACGATACCTTTTTTTATAAAAAAAAAAAACACTTCAAATTGCATCTTACAAACACACACGTGGTGAAGAAATGCTTGTTTGTGTGGCTGAACATGAATCACCGTCTTCCCTGCAATGCTACAGCTTTATTCCCAGAGGGTGACCAGACGGGTACCCTCAAGGAATAAGGAATCTTAGTTATTTCTCTTTTATACTTAGATTCTCCACTTCCCTGATACAAACAGTAACACTGGTTCTACAAGTTCTAGAAACAGAACACCGATGGGGAGGATTATCTGAGACACTTGATGCACACAGTTTGTGGCAAAAGTCTGTGATTTCTCTGTAAATTACTAATCTGAAATAGACACAACAAACTGTCCACAGCTTCAACTTCAAATGATTTAAACAAAAATAGAACGAGCCATGGACAGTGTCTGCATCCCTGTCCAATCTGATGTAAACAACGTTTGTAGAAATTGGGTTTGTTAAGAAAGTTTATCCATATACCTGGATAGCAATAAAAAGCGTTTCCTAGGAAACTGTAAGATCCTGTACCACACAGCATACAGCCCAACTAAGAGGAAAATTAGGTCGGTCTCTAAATTCAAGGTACAAATTTACACAATTGTCCTTAGGTCCTGTGATGATGTCCATGCGGTGGGCGTATCTGTCAGCAGCTGCATCTGCTTGCCTTCCCTCTCCCGCCTGCAGTCTTGCCTGTGAAACTCATCGGTCATGGGCTACTCTGGATTTCCTTCTCCACGCGATGTCCTGGACGGCCACAGACCCCCAGTGCCTTCCCGTCCTTCACTTCCAGTCCCGGCGCGGGTCAATACTGCCCTTCTGCTGCTAAAGACACTACCGTTTCATGCCTTCCCATTTCTTCCAGGACAGCCGCCAGCACGCTCAAGTTGCCGTCTGGGAAGTTCTGTGCTTCCCAGAGATCCAGGATTACGCCAGTCGGGCTGGATTTGGTGGCAAAGTAGTTCAAGTACCTGCAATTGGGAATGGGAAAGTGTGCTGAATGGTGAGATATACAGATCTGTTTTCTCTGCAGTTGGTACTCACCCCTTCTGTCTCTCCATTTGTCTTTTAAGTCTCCGGGTCCCACTGGAGAAGCTGCGGTTTACAGTGAGCCGTCCTAAATAACTAGCATACACTTAATTAGATCAGCCCCAGACAGGAGACGCGATGTTTAACTTTGTTAACCTCAACTCTGAGTAAGATAATTTAAGAGACGCGATGTCTATGGGTCATATCCTAAACAGGAAATCAAGACCCTTATGTTTTCTTTCCAGCCCGCGCTCTGATCATCTTTGACAGGTCACGCCATGTTTTGTGCTTGAGAGTGATGGCAGCATTCCACAGAGGAGGCTCTTGAGGTCTCTTTATAACTCAGCATCAAGGCTGTGATTAGCATGTTAATTAAGCATCCAGGGGTAGGTCTTGCTCAACAGGAGATGAGGAAAGACACTTACTTTAAGTGAAGGAACATATTATTTACGGGGATTTAGCCCATCAGCTTTGCAAAGTGGATCACAAAACTCGATACTTAGCTTGTCAGAGAAGCCCCCGAAATATCTTTCGACGATGTGTTTGCAAGACCATGGTGCAAGACACAAAAAAGAAGCTTCATACAGGTTGGCAGAATGAAAAGTAAATGGATGGATAGGAAAACAAAACAAAACAAAACAAAAACAAAACAAAACAAAAAAACCAGAAAAACCAAATGCTGCCCTAAGTCTAACAGTTATCAGCCGCGGAGCTCTAAGTCTAACAGAAACCAGTGGCCTGAAGCCTGGCCACACCCACCTGTCCAGGTTCAGCTTATGGGCCAGCATCCTCCAGTCATGCCCTCTGGTCTGTGGGGCGTCCAGGCTGCTACAGAGCTTCTGCCGGATAGGGGGAGGGATGCTGAAAGCACTGGGGCCCGTCATGGTTGTGATGGTGCTCGCCGGGTCCAGCAGAGGCAGATCGATGCCAGTGGGTTCCTGTAAGTTCAGGCACAGGAACAACACAGCATTATTTCCAAAGACAAAAGCAAGCTCTGTTGAACCAATCGACATAATGCCTTGCTTTGAATGGTAAGAAGAGAATGAGTGCTATTCTTCTTCTTGGTAAGAATGGCTTCTTCCCGGCCGAAAGCTGTGACCTGGCTGAGAAGAAGAAGGACGTTCTGGGCTGACTTTGCACAGCCTTGGATATATAGGTTTCCGCTTCGGACTGGGCTGGGCGAGGTGGGACCTCTGGCGTGATACCGGCTTTTCTCTCATCCTTTTCAGGATGAAAGAGGACAGAGGACTATCCATACTCCTAAAGGGTTAGATTTCAAGAGAGGAGAAATGTTCAAAAGGGCAGTTCTGTGAGAATGAACAGATCTAGGATTAGAAGGCAGAGCTTCTAGAAACTGTGTGACCCTCAGGGGAATGCCCTGGGCAAATGCCCCAGTCAATTCTCTCTCTCTGACCTCTGCAGAAGAAGAGTCGGTTCCGCTTTTGTCGAATGAAATGGAACACAGCCCACCCCCAAATGGTATCAAATTAAGACTAATTTTTTAAAGAAAATGGCGAACACAGTAAATTGCCTTAGGGCAAGCGCTAATGGCATCCTCCAATTGCTGTACACCCTTATTTTTGTTAAATCTAATTTTAGGAGAGAAAACCATAAATTGGCTCTTAAAATAGTTTCAGCTCATAAAACAGCACAAATGCGAAATCTGAATTTCATCTGCAGGAGAAACTCTAATCATTTTCTGATCACTTCTGCTGGTTGGAAAAGCAAAAGCAAATGTTGCCTGAGAACTATTAAAGCAATAAAAGAAAATCTACTTAATCTACTTTAAATGTCATCTCTCTCTTTCTTTCTCTTTTAAAGCAGGTAACTTCTTGGTGTAGGTAATTAGTTGCTGCGGGATAAACTAGCCACGTGCAGTTTGAGTCATCATGAAGTCTCTGGTCCCGTGCAGAGTGCTCAGCTCAGAGGGGCAGTGCCACCCCTGCCCAGAGCCCCCCAAACCTGGCTGCCCCCGTGGGGATCAGCGCTGTGTCCCGGTGTAGACCGACGGCATGCTCTGTATTCTCGGGCTGACCGGCAAGGCTCACTGCTAGGCTTGTGCGATCCCGCCGCACGGGGTCCCATCCAGGGCCTTGGAGGGCACAATAGAGCAAAACAAATTCTTTCCTATAACACACGGGGGCGTTGTTGCTGCCGTCACAGTATTTGGCCTCAAACCCCCCCACACTGGCAAACTGAGCCCCTGAGGATTCCATGCGCTCCTCCGTGTTAACTCCAGCCCATGCCAGCTAAAAGACTGGTACGAATGAAACACATCAGCACTAAATGGGGGTTGGAGTCCCCGGATGGGGACGCGGCCTGCAGCTCATTCCCCGTACCTGGCAGAGCTCCTTCCAAGGGACCCTGAGCAAGGAGGGCTTCTGACCCGCCCCCCCCCCGCACAGGGCTCAAAAAAGGGGGTCAGAAGAGTGACGGGGGGGGGGGCAGGTGGTAGTGTTTATCAACGGATTTGCGTTGGGGATTTCTGAACCAAAGCGCTTCATCACTTGTATTAGGCAAAAAAAAAAAAAAAAAATGATGTGTGCAAAGGGTTGGGGAGGTGGAGGTGAAGAGAAATTACACGGTATTTCCCCAGCTTGGTGCCATCACTCAGGCTGAGATCCTTCCTATGGGGACAGTAACGACAGGGCCTAGAAGGACAGCCCCCATGTCCCCAGATGTGACCGTCCCTTGTCGGCCGTGAAGATTAGGTTGCTCAGGGAGGGTCTGCTTTGTGGAGCTCTGACTTCTGTCCCCAGAGATTCTTCTTGCTGCTGCAAAGAGTATCTAAGAGATACTAAAGAGTAGCTCCTTACTGCTTGCCTGTGGTCTAGCCCAGTCTGTCAGACTCATCTTCCCAAAGCGATGTTTCTCCTTTTCTCTCTCTTATTAAGAAGCCTTAAATGCTCCTTCTACCACACAGAGTCCCCACTTCTAATTACACAGTGCGGGACATTAGCACCACCTGCCTTATCGGCTGGTATGAGGCCCCAGAGCTGATACTTAGAGAGTGCAGAGCCGGGCCTCACATGGAGTAGGGGCCCCGAGCCCCTGTGCTCCCCTCGCTTGACAATCCAACCCGTCCCTTTCTCCTGTTGCCTGGACATGACTCAAACTCGTCTCAGACTGGACCGCTCACTGTTCCTAGCGCCTTTTTTTTTTTTTTTTAAGGCTCTACCTCTCATAGTTCTTCTTTCCCTGAATCTCTGTAAGGCAAACCTCTCAAAGTCTGGACCAAAGACATGTCCCTGGGATTCCCCTGAGCAAACCCACCCAAAGCCACCAACCAGGGACCTCCCGCAGCACTTTTCCCGGTCCACACATTCTGCCTGCCCTACGCATGTTGGCCATATTTATGTGTTTACTTCTTTCGATTCCTCAAATTTCTCGGAGATGAAAGTATTTTTGTCATCCTCAGAACCCCTATGATACTCAGCACAGTGCTCTGCATACAGAAGTTCCTCAAGTCATATTTGTTGAAATGAGAGAAAATATGTTTCCTAGTACAGAAGGAGTATAAAGCTGCCTCCTGATAGAAGCCCACCCCACAGACTCGTGTTGAGCTTCCCTCCAAGTAAATGTGACTAATAATATGGCCCGTCTCATCATTAAATCCTGAAGTAAAGGCCAGGTAAAGGCAGGCCTGCCTCTCGGGAGGGTCTGCCACATATTCATGTTGCCATCCTTTTCTTGGTGAGTAAAAACCTTCACCCCTTCATGTGGGCCTTCGAGGCCCGAGTCACCAGCCCTGACTACTGTGCCTATTTCTTTGTCTGTGGATGCAATAAGCCCATTAGGGCATAATTCCTTGTCTCTCTTATCAGATGGATGACAACGGGCTTGGAGGTAAAAGAAAAATATACATTTACATTTCATCTAAAAATTTCAGTTGCTATTAGTTCTTCCTTTCCTTCCAGGTAAGAGTAGAGTTTATTCTCACAGAATGCTTATTACAATAATCGTTTATGATATTGGTACCATCTGTCTTTGATGCCACGGTTCTCTCAGTTAAGCATATGATTTTTCAACATTAGCCCAGCAGCTGCTGTGGGTGACTGCGCACATTTTCAGTGCTGTGTGGGAGAAACAACTTTCCACTCCCGTGTTCTGACTCTCCTTCCTGAAGTCACCTCAGAAAACTAGATTTTCCTAACAGTTGTTTAAACAGGCTACAGAAAACTGAAGAGTAAGTAGATGGGATAAGTTCAGCAGGCTGATGTTACTTTGTGCATTTTAAGTATTATTCTTCATGTACAAAAAGTGTACAGAAAGTGGTTAGAAGGCCTCGCGAATGTGGGAAACTATAATCGTTACTTTTATCTGGGAATCAGTCAAACAAATGACTAATACTGCCTCCCGAAGTTCCACCTTTTCCAAGGTTCAAAGCTATGATCTAAAGCAAGGTGTGATCAACCAACTTGGGAAGACAAGCCATCTTCTTTACTCTGGGAATGAATATTTATTCATTTACTTATTGAGATTTATTTTTCATTCCTTTATTTTTATAGTGGCTGACTGAGGTTTTATTTTACTATTTTGATAGAAAGGGAATCTAAAGTTTACTTTGATGCCGGATGCCACAGACTGCAGAGGCAGAGTTTACTCAAGAACCCAGTAATCCTAACAGCATCAACGGGACCAGCAATAATGATGAACACTGGCTGAACATGGGCCATGAGCCAAGTTCTGTTCAGTGCACTTACTAACATTCACTCATTCATTGCTCACAAGAGTTCATCCTTTGTTATTGTACCAATTTACACATGACGAACCTGAGGCGAGAGGGGTGAAGTGATTGCCCTTATCCCCGTGGAACTGTCCATTTGGGAATTTCCTACCATAGGTCTCTGTGTATAGCTACCAGTAAATAGAAGGCCTGACGAGACTTTAGATTTCCCTCTCTTCTCTACACTGTTTTTTCTCTTGTTGATGGGTAGCTTCACTGTTATTACTCCCCCATAGCCCTCTTAAAAAAATAAAATAAAATTTTTCATTATTTACATTTGGGCGTGCATTCATGCCCCTGCTTTTCTTCTTTCAGACATTTTCATTCTTAAACTCCATCTCTGTGAGACTAAAGGCTTTGTCTCTTGTTAAGGAATCTCTGGTCAAAGCACCCAGTAAGGAACAATTGGCCGACTCTTGACATCCCCACGGTCTATGTCAAGCACAGCCTGATCTCCCTGGGGGGCAACAGGTCCTTCCTGACTAGAGAGGCCAAGGGCCACGGCTTTATAAATGACTGTGGTGAGTGCGTTGAGTGGTGGGTGGCTGGGGGGAGGGGGCAGCACATTCCTGGCCAGTCAGCTCGTTCTTGGAAGAGCGCACTTTGGAACTGCAACCCCAGCCCACCTGCCAGCTAGCCTTGTGATCCCCGTGCAGGAGAAAGGCACCACAAATGGCGTCTTTTCTATGTTTGGTTACGGTTTGTCAGTCACAGTGTACCCCGACTCGGAGCTTTTGATGAGGATCCGGGGCTCAGGGCTCTCCAGAATCAATTGTTCAGAACTGAGCCTTGTTCCTCAGCATCAGTACTCAGCCCCACACGTCCCCCCTCTGTGGGCCGCATGCACCCACATTCAAATGCTAACCATAGCGGTGGGACGCAGTGACCCAGAAGTAAAAGCAGCAGAGTGCCCCATAATCCCCAAAGTCATATGACTCCAGTCATTTCTGCCCCTCCCTCAGAGAAATGTGCTTGTTTGTCACACGCGGCCAAAGGCCTCTGGCGGGACTGAGGGCTGGCCTCTCTGCCACCAAGTTGCAAAAGAAATCGTCTTTCCTTTACCTTGACACAAGGGTGAAAGTCCTTAAATGGTGATCACACTTTGCAAAACTGTCCTTGCCCAGCAATGGCCCTGATGGGGGGCGGGGGGGGTGCTGGGGGCAGGTGGTGGGGGCCACTGAACAGCTCCCTTTCACGTGCGGCCGCCGCGCCTCATCCAGCATTTCATCACACAGCAAACGTTCACACTGAACTGAAAGCAAGCATCAAAGGAGCAGACGTCCTCGCCCCCCCTCCAAAATTCCGCAGCCTTTGTTGTCACGGGAGCTGGGTGGTTATTGAACTTTGCAGACCTGCTGGGCCTGGAAAGTGAAAACACCCTCCTGGGCCAGCAGGGGTGGTGCTGTGTGCCTGGGAGATAGGGCCTGCGCCTTGGAGGGCCGGATGGTTGCCATGGCGCTCTGACACCGAGATCATTCCTTATGAATGTCACCAGGGTCTGTGACTAAAGTTGTTTATGAGTCAAAAGTCTCATGGAACTACAGCAGGAAACGGTGGCCGTGGCTCTCCGCAGGCTGTGGGAAAGAAGGATGGAGCGTCCTGGAGCCCGACATGCTTTCCCCCTCCTTGGTTTGCCAAGGAAGACAGTCTTTAAATACAACATGGGGCACGAAACACACCACAGAGTGTGACATTTTATTTGTCACTGTGCATGAGACAGCACGGGAGTCTTTTAAATCGACTGTCTCGCTGTAGTTTTAAAATATATGACAGTCCTGCACTTTGTGGTTCAGCCAGGGGCTCGAGCTTGGCTGAGAGGCCCCGGGAAATGCTGCCTTCTGACCATTTGGCTTACTCTTTTTCCTTTGTTCCTCCAGTGTGGAGGGTTTCTACTGTTCAAAAGGAGGATGGGGAGAACACGGTGCACCAAGGGATGCTTCGGGAAAAGTGACTCCATACACACACCACTTAAATTCTACCTTGTACTTGAAATTCGGATCGGTCGTAAAAAGTTAGAACATGATCCTTAAATTCATGACCTAAAATAGAAAAGGCTTATTTTTCAAAAAGGATTTCCTATTGTATTCTTTTCTATATCTTGCTCCCTGTGTTCATTAAAAACATCACTCTATTAATAAATGGGACCTATACCAAGCGTTTCAGGACTTCCCCCATGGCCTATGTTGAGACCTTTATCCTCCACACCCCCCTCTCCTTCACAAGGTCATTGTCTCCCCTGATTTCTGAGGCAGACAAGAACTTCTTACCTCCGACACGGTGCAGTTGAGCTGGAAGATCTGCCCTTCTCCTTCCACCTGTCGCACGCAGAGTTTGCAAACCAGCTCCACTGTGTTCAGGCTAAATCTTTCCAGGGTGAATGTGCAGTGGAGGTTTCTTTGAGACCCATTCCAGATATGATAAAAAGGAATCTCCTAAAGGATATAACCATGTTAACCGCCAATGAGGGACTAACACCGAAAGGGACTCTCAGACACTGCCTGCCAAATACTTTTCTCGGGAGTACACATTACCTTATTTAATCCTCGAGAGAGGCCCATGCATAAGGACATCCCAACCCACTTTTCAGATGAAAAAACCGAGGCCCAGAGATGTTAAATACCATCCCCCTCTCCAATCCCACAGCTAGTAAGTGGCAGAGCTGAGATATGAACCCAGGGAATCAGCCTCCAAAATCTATATACCTAACCAGTCTGCCACTTCCCTGTCATTTACAAAAGAAGCCATCGGAAGTGGGTTTTCAAAAGTTTAGCGAATTCCCAAAATAAAACCTACACACTCCAGTCATTGCTCATTAAAAGGAATCCCTGCCGTGGTGTTCTGGAGAAAAGCAAAGAAAGTCTAAAGGATAAAGCACTGACCCAGTTCCCTTTCATGCCTACGTGCCCCCTCTGCACAGGACAGGGAAAACCAAAACTCACTGCAAGCGGGACACTGGGGGCCCCGATGAGCTGCCGCAGAAAATCCTTGGCCTAAAAAGCACCAAGCCTCTAACAGACATACATTTTCTAAACGTCTGGACCACCTTAAAGAGCCCATTCTAGAATCTTATGTCCATAAAGGAAAGAAAAGGTTAATACACTTAAAAAAAAAAAGAAGTGGGGAGAATATGGTGGTTAAGAACAGAGGCTCTGGAGCCCAATTCAGAATAAATGAGAACACCCTCCCCTTGCTTACTTGGTGTTGTGGGGTAAGTTAACCTTCCCATGCCTCAGTTTCCTTATCTGTGAAAAAGTAAGCAAAAGAGTACCTAATCATAGACCTGCTAGGGTTAAATGAGATAACTCAAAGTGCACGGGTGTCTGGCAGATGGTAGGAATTCAGCCAGGCTTGGCTTGAACTACTATCAGATTATCATTATTACTAAAATAGTATTTTCTGTTCTGATCGCACAAAGGATACTGTTCATAAAAGGGAAATATTTATGGGGTTTTATGGCAGTTGCTAAAGAAAGGAGAGAAGAAAGCAGAGAGAGAGATTCCATGAGAAAGTCAAAAGCCAGATAGATCTCTCTACCGAGGGCTGAGTTATACAGAAAATTCTGGTAGGCACCCCCTACGAAAGCTTCACAGTGTTAGCAAGCTAGGGAGTTTGTTTCCCACAACTTATGTGTACATATTAGACCTACGAGACTAAGAATGAGCTGGAAATCTTCCCTTCACTCTTAGTATGTTCACTGACTTCTATCAGGAAGTCACAGCCTGTGGAACTGCAGTGCTGGGGTGTGGTATAGGATTCTCATGCGTGTAGACACGGACTTGCAGCTTAGCAAAGTGTGTCTGCATCTCCTGAGACTGGGTATGAGGCTAGAGATCCCGTCACACAGCCTTCTGGGAGCTCAGGCTCAAAGACGTTGGGGGAGGGGGTGACAACCCCTGGAGAGGCCTCTGCTTTTCCCATGTGTCCATGCAGTGAGACTTTGGACCAGTATTTTTATGCTGTTATCTAATAAAATCCTGATCAGATTTTATTTGTAGGTGCTATTTCAATTTCCAAATTGGTGTTCCTTCCAAGTTTTCAAGGTAAAGGTATTTTCCTAGCAAGGCTGGGGTCTAATTTGTCACACGGGGGGTAACACTGTTCTTCCGTTTTCCCTCACAAAGGCATTTTTGAGGTTGTTTTTATCAATTCAGTGTTAGCATTTATTCTGAAAGCGAACTGAAATGATGGACTTGGAAGTCCTTTTACTAAAAGTAAAATAATGACAGTGCAATTATTTGAAGGAGAATTAAGAAAAAAAATTCAAATATTCTGGAGTATTTTTCAGAAATCCTAAATAACTTTACACCATTTTAGAGAAACAAGTACTGTTACAGAATTAATTTCAAGGAAAGGAATATCTTATGTCTAAATAATTTTAGACTTCTTTCTTGGAGCTGTCTCCAATCCTTTGGTTCAGCTCGGGAACCTTACCTGATATTTCGCCAGCAATTTACTTTTCCAGAGGGAATGGGTGATATCGTGAATCGACAGGCGCAGGTTGTGGGTGCTGCCTTTAAAATGAAGAGCCTTAGGTTCTTCTAGGAGCTGTCCTCCCATCTGTCTCTCAAGCTGCAATACTTCCTACAATGACATGCCCAAAGTCAAAAGCAAATCACTGAACGTATTACTTCCGCTGGCTGGCTCTCTCATCAAATGAGCAGGTTTCCTCACGGCGCCTCCCCCACACCACAACTAACTCGTGCAGACTCTCAATTCTGCAGCCTGGAGGCCCTCCAACGTAAGCCCCTGCCGGTTTGTGTGTGACTCAATCCTCCTGACCATCAACTCCCTTTCAGCAATCTGCATCGTATGTTGTGAGGCAAATTCAGTACAGTCTGCATTTCCTGATGGACAAGTGGAAGATTTAATCAAATCCTGGAAAATAACAATCAGAACCCCGAATGGGAAGAACTCCAAATGAAAGAAAAAACAGGCAAAAATATAAACAATTAACATAAGTCGATTTTCAATGAACTTTTAGGGAAAAGGGCAAATCACTAGAAAACTAACCCACGTCTTGGACTTGGCAAAACCAGCCAACAAGTAAAGATTTGGATTGCATTTGGGGCATTTAAAAAAAAAAAAATTGTAGTTCCTTTACCTACAGAAATAATAACATTTTTGCTTAAAATTCTCCATTGCACAATTCCCAATTATCAAAAACTAAAAGAAAACGTCCTATGAGAGGAAAATATACTGATACAGATTAGGAAGGTCTGTCAGCACCAAATATTGAACTAAACAGTTATACTCAGATTAAATCTCGAAAAGAATACTTCATTTCTCAAGAACTGTGGCTGATCAAAAAATTTGCTATGTAACTTTACTATAAAGATGTAACATGAAGACAAATTCTAAATATACTTTTATTCCTCAGACAAGCTAATGGGAGTTAACGAAGCATTTCCAAGTACAGCTGTAATTACCCAAACAGCAAAAACCCTAAGTTATCAATGAACAAAATATGCTGAGTCTCCTTTGCTGTCAGAACCATCCCTGTGCACTTTGGTTAGCTCCTGTCCTGCTTTAAATGTTTTAGTGACACTCATGTGTAGGCAATTTGTGACCTTTCTTTCTTTCTTTCTTTTTTAAGGGTTCAGGAAAATAATGGATTTTATAAAAATATAAAAGGAAAACACAATCTTCTTTTTTGGTGACATTTCAGTTGGAAGCATGGGGTTCAATAACTCAGGCGCCCATTCAGGTCATTCCACACACATGTATTGGGCACCTACCAGAGTACCGAACGCAGATGGATCATGGCAGAGAATTGTGAGTATGGGAAGCAGACTGCCTTTTACCCAGAAATACGTCCACTGTGCATTTGTTGAATGAATTCTAACTCACGCACATGTAGCCCAGTAAGTGCAGAGCTTACCAACATTGATTAGGTGTAAATTGCTCATTTCTAGCTGCTTCTTAGTGGTTCTTAGCGTTCATCATCTTTGAGTCAGGCCACTATTCTGAACAATGCAAGCCGCTGAAAGGTCCTACAAGGTGTAGGAAATATTAGGATAATATGGAATATGGTCTCAGACATGGATTCCTCTAATTAGTGTTTAATGGAAGAAATGAGGCAGTAACGCACTGATGGAGAGACGGGCATGGTCCAGCCGCTTTGGAATATTTACACTGAGAGGATTCAACCTTGCTGGCTGACGAGTAGCTATTACTTGTGACAGGAGTCTGAGCAGTCAGCCGACCCCCAGCCAGCCAGTCGGCTACTGGAACACATATGTTGTGCCCTGGCTCTCTGTGCCTACAGCTCAGCAGGCTCTCGAGGGTCCCCAATAAGCCATACAGCTCTACCCAACCCAGAGTTGCACATGTTCCTTGTGGAACACTTCACACTCCATTCCTCGACAAGAATCTGGCCATATGGAAATGAAGATGAACAAGAAAAGTGAGGGTTAATTGCAGTTTCTTCTGCTTCAGCAGCAAGGCATAATGAGCTTATGTTGATCATATTTGGTGTCTAGTTAGCATAATAGAGAAAGCTGATGTTCCCAGTGAACCTGGCACCTGACAAATTCTAAAGCTAAAATGATGTTTGTTTATAAGCCATTAGAAGAAAAGAAACATAATTAGAAATCTTTGAGATTACAGTCATGCCAATCAATCAGTTCTAGCTTCTTTCGAGTACACCCTAATTACCTCATCAAGACGTCTAAAGAGCAATCGATAGTAATTATCTGATTACTATAGATCTTCATTATGTCCAAATTATCTCCCTGGGATGTCTAAAAGAAGATGCATTGTATTCTGGGAGGAAATTGTACCCAACAATGTATAATCCACACCCCATTCCCACAATCAACATAGATTGCCAGAGGATATGGAGAACATTATCAGTTTTCTTGGCAGGGAGGACCATTGAAAAAAACCTAAACTGCCTATTGGTCATGACCTTGAAGTCAAGAAATCTAATACCACATTTGAATGCAAAGTCTGGGTTGGAGTCAGCCCAAGAATAGGCCTCAATCCTTGGTTGCTTCAGCACTGACCTCAAAAGGCATGATTAAGAGTTCTCACTAGTGGGGATAGATGGCATTGGCTTCAGCTTTTTTTGAAAGTACCAGGTAAAATGCCATTTTATTTTATATTATTTTATTTAAAAGATTTAAAGATATATTTATTTATTTTAGAGAAAGAGAGTGGGGGTGGTGAGGGGCAGAGGGAGAGAGAATCCCAAGCAGACTCCCCGCTGAGCATGGAGCCAGATGAGGGGCTCGATCTCATAACCCCAAGACCATGACTTGTGCCAAAATCAAGAGTTGGACGCTTAACTGACTGAGCCATCCAGGTGCCACAGTAAGATGTCATTTTAAAGATAATGGAGATAGAGAACACATCTCCATATTCTTAAGCTCTCTGTTTTTCCACCAACCAGGAATAGCCGAAAGCTGCTGCATAGAGTTGGGAGGAACCTAACTTTTTTGTCCCCTTTGATTTGATATGAACCCTGGTGAAAGATAAACTGCCCATTGGGATGTACCCATTCTTACAGGAGAGGTCCCTCTCCAAACATATCTGATTGCACATGCCTATCAGTCAAAAAACTGAGCATGCATTTTATGCTTCTTTATAAATGATATACCTATATTAACACATCAGTAAGTTACTGTATTACATTATAAAATACACATAAGGTTAAAAGTATGAGCTAAGATGAATAAACACAGAAGTATTATTATCTTTTTGGCCCCCAAATTCATTGGGCCTGGGGTGTGTGAGGGCCATTTTGGAGACCACTGGCTTGGGCAGATGCCCTTTCACTGCTACCTCTGGGAGAAATCAGCCCTAGAATAAATGATTCAGTAAGAAGAATCCTTACCAAACATAATTTTAATGTTCTTCCTGAGAAGTAGCAACTGATATCACACTCAGAATGTTCGACTTTAAGGAAACATAACAAAATAAAGGAGAAGACAATAACCAAAGCACAAATTAAAAATATTAAAGTGAACTAAAGATATTGTAAGCAATAAGTAAAACACCTCCTTGGAAACTACAATCATCTAAAACTACATGAGTCAGAGATGTCTGGACACATACAGCAAATCCACATACAGTTTTGCGCTTCACGTGTTCTCTTACACACCAAGTTTTTCCAACAAGTATGGACATGACTGCAAATGTATTTTTTCTTCCTTATGATTTTCTTAATAACATTTTCTTTTCTCTAGCTTACTTTATGGTAAGAATACAGTGCATAACACATATAACATATGTGTTAATCGGCTATTTATGTCATAAGGCTTATGTCATTAAGGCTTCTGGTCAACAGTAGGCTATTAGTAATTAAGTTTTTGGGAAGTCAAAAGTTATATGCAGATTTTCAACTGCCTGGGGGGGTTGGTGCCCATAACTCCCATATTGTTCAAGGGTCAACTATATGAATTTTACACCAGAAGAGAGAAGAAGCAAGACCACTTGATACACCTAGTCAGGCTTGTGTTCCATATTGTTATGTTTTTAACTGTCATAATTTCAGATATGTTATAACAGATCCCACTTAAAAAATACGCTGTAACTTATATTTCAAAAGGCTTGACTTTCTGAGTCCTTCTGCATAGAACCATTTTATGATACATATGATACACAGAAGGAAGAGGACATAAAAATAACACATGTATGAATCAATAAGGTATAGCTCTACAGTTAAATGCTTTCCTCTCCTTAATCTTCCTGAGAGCCTTCATTCAACATCAGTACAATGCACATGCCCTGCTGGGAACCGGGTCAGGCTCCGGGCCACACAGACGAGTCCCCAACTCTGCCTCCTACCACTCAGGGAGGGGAGAGCACCACGTAAACACGTGATCCCAACCCTGTGTGCTCGGCTCTAAGACAGCTTCCAGACAGCTGCTTTTGGATCACACAGTTAGGATATTGCACACACCTTAGGGCAGAATAAGAACAAAATACATTTAAGGTCAAAACACTTAGTTAGACTTCAGAAAAATTTAGTAACCTTGGAAAGAAATGCCATCATAGGAATCAGGATCATCTAGGGTCTTTGTTCTCAGAAATATAAATGTCACCTTCCTTTGCAAAGGTTGTCCTCCCTCTTGGCAGGTCTCCCCCCTCAGGGCCCTGTTTTGGTTCTGGGTGACTCTACCTGTTGCTTTGATAAACTTGCTCTACTTCTGCAAGAAGGGGTCACTCTCTGACTTCCTTTGTCACGTCTACCTTCACCCCTGCAACTTGACCTTGAAAAGACTCTCTTGGGAGTCAGTTATTGGCAGAGGTGGGAACACATGCAAGACCCCAGTCGTAAAGTCACAGGAGCAGGCCCCGGTGTGTGTGAGTCTGCTGCCAGGATCCGAGCAATCCTGTAGGATGGCTGCTTCCCCCAGCTCAGTGGCTGTCCGGAGCAGGCTCTTTGGTGGCCCTGAGTGAGCGTTCTATCGATTCAGGGGGCCTGTGAGGGATCGCTCGAAAGGCAGGGACAAGAGATTCCACAGGAGAAACAAGCTTTCACAATAACCAATTAAACCAAGACATTATCCATGCCAAGCCATTAGCCTGGGCCACTTAAGAGCCACAATAAATCGTAGCTGTTTTAAAGGCCTGTGCGT